GGTGCGGGCTTTGAACTGGCGCCTGGTCTCTCTCACCTCATTTTGTTGGCCAAAGCAGGTCACAGAGCCAGCCTAGAATTGCGGGCTGGGGCAGTAGACTCCACGTTTTCAGTGAGAGAAATTTCAAAGTCTCCCGGCAGAAGACGTGGAAACAGGGAGGGGCGAAGAAGTGGGGCCATCATTTCAGTCAACGACTCAGACGAAGAGGTGATCGAACCCACAGAATGCGTTAGGGAGGAAATGGGTATGGTGCTGGGATAGGGAAGGTGGGTGGTGCTGGACTAAGAGGCCTCTCCTAGGTGGTGACCGATAAGCAAAGGATGAGAAAGAATTCGCTATCCCAAGAGCGTGGGTGAGGCACGGGGAACTTTCCAGGCCTAGGGGACGGAACGGGCACAGTCCCAGCAGTGGGAAATGGTTCCACGTGAATGGGGCCTGGTGGACAAGGAGGGGGATGGTACAAGATGAGGTTAGAGAACCGGACAGGGCTGGGACACCTTAGGCCATGGTAAGGAGTTTGTGGCTCTTGGTTTCATGTTAGCAAAACAATTCCATTATGTACTCTCTCCATTTTCTGTAGTCATAGACTAGTTTACGGAAGAGCAATGGAGATGGGCTTTGTTCATTTCTCTTTGGGAGAATGTCTTCCAACTCAGAAAGGGTGCTCCAAGCAGAGATTCCAGGGACTGAACCACTGAGGACTGAGGGACATGAGGGGAGGGACCATGTCTGTCTCACTCACCATTTGGTGCCCAGTGTTCTGAGACCTAGTGGGTTCTGCATAAACATGTTACATGGATGGATGGATGGATGGATGGATGGATGGATGGATGGATGGATGGATGGATGGATGAACGAACGGATGAATGAACGAACGGATGAATGAAAAGGGCCCCAGATTTGGAGAAGGCGTCTTGGGCTCTGGCCCTGGTTCTACCCCTAGTCTTGTGGTCTTGAGCAAGTCACTTAACCTCTCTGCTTCCTGATTCGAGAAACGAGGGGTCAGCCTGAGATCCATACTTCTTAAAAAAAACAGATTTATGAATTTCTGAAGGATACCCAGCCTGGGGAATCGATTTTACCTGAAGATTTGGAATTGGGAGGAGAGTTAGGTGAGTTTGAAAATTTCCCATTAAAATAATCATGAATATATTATGAATTCGAATGCAAA